AAATTTACAATTAGTAAATTTCTCACATTGAAGAACTTTTTTTCTATGACGGATTCAAATTTGGACCACTAATTAAAAATGTTCTACTCTATGAAATCTACCTATTTGCCTATTTTCATAAAAATCGGCTTAATTTTTATGGATATTTAAGATCCTAAATACCGAATATATGCTACGAGTATGAATTAATGCTCCTAGCATCGATTCGGTCCTTCGGGGTCTCAAATCTCGGTGAAATTTGGGTCAATTTTTATGGAAACTGGCAAATAGGTAGATTTCATAGAGTCGAACATTTTTAATTAGTGGTCCAAATTTGAATCCGTCATAGAAAAAAATTCTTCAATCTATAATTGTAAATTTTTGTTTTAAATCACTTTATTTTACAAAATAATCTGTTGCTAAATTATTTTTAAAAAATATTATTGCTTTCAAGGTTTCTAATGAACACTTTTTTATTTTGTTCGAATAGTCATGGAAATAAAAATTCTAGAAAGTTAACTTTCGTGTTCCGTTGCATGTGTGAGCCACTGTATTCAGTTTTATCTAAATCTGATTCTTTAGGCATATAGCTTGTTTTTGAGCTTTTAGAATTTTTTATAAAATTATCCTCATTATCCTCGCTAATCATATTAATATTTGAACTAGATTCTAAATAAAAGAAATAATATCAATATTAGTACTAAATAACTAAAAAAAATTATACCACAATTTTCATTTATTATTAGTATAGATTTTTCCAGTTTTTTATAGTGACTTAAATATACATTTTTGCATTAATGTATAAAATTTAAAAATCTTATCGTTTATTCACATAGCTTTATCCGACCATTTAATTTATAAGATACTTCAATAATCATTTTCACCGATAATTTGAATAGCTGGACAATTTTGTATGTGATTATTTAAACTTGATTGAAATAAGTATAAATTTGCTTCAGCTGTAAATGTTAACCATTTTCTGGAAGGTGAATTAGATTTTTCATATTAATAATAACCTTTACTTTTAATTCAGTTAAATAAATTGTCTCTATTTCATCATTTTGGCTTGAATTTCTTAAGATATGTGTTGGTTTTAAATTTAGACGATCCACCGGACGGTTTTCAATGGAGTTGACCCGATCATACTGAGCAGAATGTTATATAAAAATCCATATCAAAGTTAATTTGATATCCAAAATATATATTGCATTCCTTTAGCCAAGTAATTTGAGATAAACGGGTTGTAAGAATTCTAAAATGTCGATTATGAATTTGTTGTCTCCGCACAGTTAAATCCGGAATAGTATTAGTACGAGAAAGTTTTATATTTAAATTACAGGAACAATACTGGTTTTTAAATCCGTAAAGCAAAAAAGACATTTTGACAATCACCCATATAATGATCCACAGACGCGATTATATAAATTTTACTAAATCAACAAGTCTTCGCCCATTAAGAAATAATGTTCAGCTTAAAAATTGTATTAAAAGCTATATATTTTTAGCATGTCAACCCCGATTCAAGCCTGCACTGAGAATATACCTTGTGTTGATTTTATTAAGAACATAATATTCTATTTAGAAGGCATTACAAATTTTTTGTGTGGTATTTTTTTAAAAATTGGTATTATATTTTAAAAAAAACCAATTAATTTCCGCTGGAACTATATCATTATTGTATATTTGTATTTTAGCTTTTAACGTTATGACTAAAATAAACTACTATTAAATCTTTAAATAAAATCATGACTTCTAAAGAACATTATTTTCATATAATTCCTAGATTTTGTCAGGATATCGAATAAGGACCCGCGCGATCGTTTCGATTCGCTTTAAAATCTTCATTAATACACTTCTAAACAAAAAACAATAATATATTTCTTTATATGACCATTCGTTAAAAAAAGTTTTATCTCCATCAATATTAATCCAAAAAAAATAAACAAATATTAATTTTAAACCTCAAAATTTCTAGTGTTTTTAAAAATAATTCGCAACAGATTATTTTAACCATTTTTGTGAAATTAAGTGATTCAAATCAATTAGTAAGTTTCTCACATTGAATAACTTTTTTTAAGACAAACCAAAATTGTACTATTAATTAAAAATGTTCTACTCTATGAAATTTACCTACGTACTCGTGATATCAGATTTTTTGAAATTTTGTTTGAAATTAATTTAAAAAATCGAAAACTAGCTATTTAAAAAAAGGTAAATAATTGGATTCTATAAAGGAAAGTATACTAAAACCGACATTAGTAGAATTCTTAATCTACTTGAGACTACCATGAGAAATACCATTAAACACTTTTAAATTACCAGAACACTAATAAATAAAAAACGAAGTGGACATCTGGCCCAAAATACATGTATATTTAAAATGATTGCTGTATAAAAAGATCTATACGTATCAATAAGATAGGAATGTGATTCTGGTTTATTAGACATTAGATTATAACATGTAATAAAAACAAGCTTTATCGTTATTACGACTATATAAATCAATAGAATCTCTAATGATATGTATAAAGCTTATTGTGTAATTATTTTTGATCAGTAATAGTTCAAACAAAAAACTGTTCTGATCGCACTAATTCGAAAACGCAATACATGTAATTGAAAGCACCGCTAGTGATGGATAGCCAACACATTTAGGGGAGTGACAGATATTACGTAATTTCTTAAGGGGGAGGGGGTTTGAAAAATCTTACGTTCATATTAAAAAAAATTTTTATATATTAAATAATCTTACCTAGGGGGGAGGGGGGAGGTATAATAAAATTATATTACTTAATATCTGTGACTCCCCTTATCAATATCGATATCGATATATTTAAATTTAAAAATTCGCCAATACGTACTTTCTTGTAGCTGGTGCACATACGTAGTGATAGACTACGTAATTTCCATGAAAATTTCATATCGATATCGATATGGTGCATATGCACGTAAATTCAAGAACTAGTTCATTTACATAATTTGAGTGTGCATATCTCTTGTTGGTTATAGTGTCTGCAACAGGTCCATGTAATTGGTCAGACTGTGGTCAGAAGATCCACTTAAAATTTATAATGCATTCGTGTACATTATCATCTCTATCGCTATCGTTTCAAATATATACGTATCGATATTATTTCGCTAAAAAGGCTATCATTATCGTTATTATCCAAATATAGTATTGAAAAAATTCAATTATGTATCTGTATACATTGTATCCTGATTTTCAGTACAATAAAGAAAACGTGTGCATTTCCGTGCTACAGATGTATGAAATTAGCTTAGCACCAACCTCTCGTGTTCCTTTCGGCCATATATGCGCCACAAAGCAAGCCATCGCTTTTTGTCGTTATACTGTGTTCAAAAAAATATCGGAGTTTAACTTTAAGGATTTAATCGTAAAGAAAGACAAAAACTATTTAAACACCAAATATTCATTTCAAAAAAGATTCTTTTCTTTTCATCTCTAATCATTCAAAAAAGCAAATTCTATAAAATGAAATTTTTCTCAATCCTCTTAATTTCGCTTTCACTACTACTTTCGAATTCGTTCTTCTTAACGTTTTCAAACATTCCACAAGTTTCCGCAAGGACAGCCAATGAATGGCGCCAACGCACAATTTATCAATTGCTAACTGATAGATTTGCGCAGCCTTCAAACGCTAAAAATCAGACATTGTGTGAATCGAATAAAGTCGAGTATGAAGTTAGACGGTATTGTGGTGGAACTTTTAAAGGAATTATCGAGAATTTGGACTATATTAAAAATTTGGTATGTTTATTTGATGATGACATGACTTAGTTTGGACAGAATTTTCGAAAGAATCATACAATTGATAATGAGACTTTTTTCTTTTTGGGTTTAGGGATTCGATGCGATTTGGATTAGTCCCGTGGTGACACAGTTCGAAGAAGAAACGCAATTTGGTCTCGGATGGCATGGGTGTAAATATTAATTTATATTGTTTTTCTTTCTTCAACCTCAAAATAATCGATACATGTATACTCAACAACAATATCCCTTTCTATTTAGACTGGGCTCAAAATATGTATTCAATTAATCCACATTTTGGCACCGAACAAGATCTAAAAAATTTAGTTGAAGCAGCACATAAGAAAGGAATTTGGGTTATGGTAGATGTTGTCGCGTAAGTTAATTATTATAAATAATTTCCTTTAATGAAATCAGAACCCTAACGCTAAAATATTTTCACTTAAATAGAAATCATATGGGTCCACAACGTGGTAAAAAACCAAAAACAGAAGAATACGTAAAACAGTATACTCCCTTTAACAATACTAGTAATTATCATGAGTATTGTAATATACATAATTGGAATGTGAGTATTTGCATATAGTTGCTGATAAAGAAAAAAGAATATTAATACGTATTTGACTCTTTTTTTAGGATCAAAACGAAGTGGAATATTGTAGTATTGGCGGTGAAGATCTTCCTTTACCAGGTAAATTGTAATTTTCTTTAACCTGCTCGATGAAAAAATATTTATGTGACCCTTTTTCTTTATGATAGATCTTGACACAGAAAACCCACAAACTGCATCTCTCCTCATCGACTGGATCTCTTCGCTAGTCAAAACATATAATTTCGACGGAATCAGAATCGACACGGTAAAACACGTGCGAAAACCATTCTGGGCAGATTTCACGAAATCGGCAGGAGTTTTTTCCATTGGCGAGGTTTTTGACGGGAATCATGGTTATGTTTCTGATTATCAAAATTATATGGACGCATTGCTTGGTTATCCGTTGTATTATACGTTGAACAGTGTATATGCGGACGGTAATTCAATGTATGGTATTCGTGACGCGTTGAATCAAAATAGACAGAGCTTTAAAGATACGAATCTTTTGGGTAATTTCTTGGATGGTCATGATGTTCCGGTATATTTTATTTTTTTGAATGACGTTTATTACAACTGTACCTATGTATAAATGTATCCTAATATTATAATAATTTATTTTAATAGCGTTTTCTCTCAAAAAAATCAGACCAATCCATCCTACGAAATGCACTCGCATTTATCTTATTAGCTGACGGAATCCCAGTCGTCTACCAAGGCACCGAACAAAACTTCAACGGTAACCCAACAGTCAGTTACGGTGGCAACGACCCATGGAATCGTGAAGCACTTTGGTCATCAAAATACTCTCAATCCACACCAACTTACCAATTCATCTCTACAATTCTCACTTTCCGAAAACTGCTCCCTTCGAAGTTCTTTTCCGAATTGAGCGTTGAAGCATGGGTTGACGCGAATATTTACATGTTTTTCAAGGATCGTGTAATGGTCGTCACGAGCAACTACGGCAAAGATAGCGGGGTCTCTCGTGATATCATTGTACAAGGAAACGGAAGATGGAGCCCTGGCACAGATATGGTTAATATTTTGAAGTGTGATGAGATTGTCAAAGTTGACGTGAATGGAAATTTGCTTATAAAGTTGAACCAGGAGCCTAAAGTTTTATATCCAATGAAGGAATTGAATGGTAGCGGGCTTTGCAAATTATGAGTTGTCTACTAATCAATTTTTTGTACACTGCCCTACCAACGACCGGAAACTTTGCAGCGCATCAATTTCATTACATATAACCATTATTACCTTATCAAAAAAGAGTACTATATTTTAGATAATTATTCTCCGTATTTTTATAAGTTGTTATTCATTCGAAATGATAATAATTGCACAAACATTAATTGTACTTGCTGTTCAAGCAAAAAAAAATCTTTCATTAAAAGTATTACGTATTTAGATTAAAATGTAACGGTTACATCATTGATTCATAAAAATAAACTTAACAAGAACCTTTTAGAGCGATAAAATTTTTTGATCCAGTTACGATTCGGGCATATGCACTATGATATTGTAGTTTTGGAATTTCGGAATTATGAGAAAATTCAGAATTTTGTGGTTGAGATGGCAGCCAACTCGACAGGTTTAGATGTCACTTTTTTGGTTCCTTAATTTTTGCTTTTTTAAAAATATTAAAATCAAGATTGTGAAGTTATAATCAAACTAATAGTTATTGTGTATCTTCCTTAACAAATTTTTTAAGGTAAAAATAAATTTATTGGATGACTTGTCAAAATAAGCGCCACTTTGTCTTTTTTCATAAATTTCTTCTGTATTAACGATAAGCACATACAGTCCCTGCGAAATAATGGCGGACAGTTTTTTTAATTATATTTCATTTAATTGTATAAAAGAACTTATTTTGAAAGTGTTTCTGAGTAGGGAATTTTATGCCCCTAAAATATCAGTACTTGGTGTGTTCTCTTTCCGTGTCAATGCAAGTTCGAATACAATTTAATGTTCTAAAAATTTTGTAACTTGAACGTTTTTAACTAAAAAAAAATTAAAATTCGCAAGCCAAAATTACAAAAATCTGATCACTGCTTATCGAGAAAATAAGTTTAAAAACCTGCAATCGGGGGTGGGGATGACTTGCCGTGATGTGCTTCTATTAGATTTTCGCAAATTCATCACATTTTTATTTTTTTTTAATTGTTATTACCTTGCTAGAAGTCTAGCAATGTTATTTATATATTTTCCTATGAAAAATGTTAGTATTGTAGTAAAATTTATATAACAAGCTCCGCCATTATTTCGCCGGTGACTGTAAAGTCATCAAACATTTATATTTTATAAAATACAAATTTTTGATGACTTATGCACATCATACCGATACACATCCTACAATAAATTACTGGAAATAAGCATAGCGATAGTAAAACATAAATTCTCTAGAATGAAAATTTATTTTATTAGTATATAAATAATTTTGTTTTTATATTTTTTATATATTTAATTTCAATATTTCTGATTGTAAATTTGATTACACAAACTTTTATAATTAAATTTTAATTTAACTATAAAAAGTTTTTGTAACAACTTTACAATCAGAAATATTCTTGAAATTAATTTAAAAAAAAAAACATACGTTAAAATACATATATTTACCTTTATTTTGATATAAATACAAATATTTACTAATAAAAATAAGATTTTCAGTATAGAGAAAATTTATGTTTTGTTCTGTTTTTTTGGATTCCAGGTGAATTTAATCCGGTTCTAATCTCTAGAAGGTACGACTAAATACACGGTGACTCACACAAGAAATGGAACATGCGATCAAAACTTTCTAAATTTTTATCTTAGTCAATATCATTCCAAACAAAATCAAAACATACTCATTTTGAATCACAAGGCCTCTAGTATTGTTCAAAATATTTTAACAACAGATTATTTTAGTCAATTTTGTGAAACTGAGTATGTAATTTTAATCAAATAGTAACTTTCTCACATTGAAGAACTTTTTTTCTATGACGGATGCAAATTTGAACCACTAATTAAAAATGTTTTACTCTACAAAATCCGCCTATGTACCAATTTTCACAAAAATTGGCTCAAATTTCATCGAGATTTAAGATCCTAAAGGTTCAAATCTCTGTTAGTAAAATAAATAGTCGAATTAATGCTCCTACCGAGATTAGAACTTTCGGGATCTCAAATATCGATAAATTTGAACTAGTTTTTGTGAAAATTGGTACACAGGTGAATTTTGTAGAGTATAACATTTTTAATTAGTGGTCCAAATTTTTATCCGTCATAGAAAAAAAGGTCTTCAGTGTGAGAAAGTTACTATTTGATTAAAATTACTCAGTTTCACAAAATTGACTAAAATAATTTGATGTCAAAATATTTTTGAACAATACTAGAGGCCTTGTGATTCAAAATGAGTACGTTTTGATGTTGTTTGGAATGATATTGACTAAGATAAAAATTTTAGAAAGTTTTGATCGCGTGTTCCATTTCTTGTGCGAGTCACCGTATGTACAAGAAATAAAGTTTTGAAAGTAGCAAGAAACTTTCTTGCTATTTTCAAAAAATTTATTTCTTGTACATGTATACAATCATATCTCCATATTGTCACCAGAAAAAGTGACTTTAAAGAGGTTGTGACTATATGAAGGATTCATAATGGCTGAAACTGAGAAAAACGTTATGGTAGAAAATATGTAACTATACAGGGTGAGACTGCATAGAGGTACGATTTTTTCAAGTCATGCTACACCATTTTCTTATAAGGCTTATTTTAACATTTTAAAATCTCTAAATAATGTATTTTTTTAAAACGACAAATTTTTAAGCTAACGGCTCACTTTTTCTTGCCAAACTGTTATCATGAACAGTCATACATTAAAATCTTAGGAACCAAATAAAAATTTCATTTTCCCTTTAGAAAATGTGTGGCTAGAGATGCATGTATGAGAACGATATAGATTCTTTAGTTCGATTTGCTTATTTCGATCAAACTTTTAATTAACAGAAAATGACGCATTCGCAAAAAATTGACTTTAAGAAATTGATACGTAAATTGCTTAGCGTTAGAATTTTTCATTTACAACTACGTACGTAATTGTACAACGTGTAACAGTCGATTTTGTGTCTCGCTTATATGTACGTATGCATACATGTACATGTCTCGAACATTTACGTATCTACGGAGAGAATGAAAAATAGAGCATTCTATCGTTTCAATTTTTGATAAAGATTAATCATATAATAATGCTGTCAAAATATGAGAAAACATTTGCAATGAGCAAGATTATAATTAATTGATTTAAAGTCTTTAGCAAATTCTATGTAAGAGAGAATGGAGAGTAGTCAATTATTTATAATTTCTATCTTTTAACAACATACTTAAATTAAAATTGAATTGTTAACGTTAACGTTAAAAGTTTTGACATATGGAAAGCATTATAAATCAATGTGAAAATATTGCGACATAATTGTGGCTGGAAACCGTGGCTAGTGTTACCGGGTTAAGGATAATTTCGTCAATTTTGGTAAAATCCGCCTAGCCCGATTTCGTTAGTTTATTTTCATTCGCTTTAAAATTCTATTTTTATTTCGCTTTTATTTCGCTTTTGATCTCGCTCTTGTTTTCTATTTCTTTTTCAATCTTAAATTCTCTCTTAAATAATAGAGTGCATTATGCAACAAGTTCCGAAACAATATAGACAAAAAGATGTATATATAGTCCTCGCAGATGTTAATAAAGACACAGAATTAATTGCGCACAATTCTTATCCAAGAAAATAAAATTGTTGTAATTGATTGTGGTTAGGTCCTTTGATCCAGAAAAGGCATTGATATTGTTAACGATATATTGATTGATTGATTGAAAAAGAGCTTTGTGATTGAACAGTTTAAGGCTTTTAGCTAGAAAAAGCAACGATTGGAAATTAATAAGAAGAATATTGTCAATAA